AGACAGATATATATGTATATATATATATATCAAAGTATGCTGCGTAGCACTAAACATTATAAAAATATAAACAAATAATTAATTGATATAAACAGTGCTAATATCAGATTGATAATACTAAAGTATTGTATGTAGTAGCAATTGCAACCAATCGTATTGGAAGAATGCAAACAGTGCATACCCAATTGTAGTATGTTCTGGAGATCCATGCTGATTAAATTCTTCAATTGTATGTTGATCATGTTTAAATGGCTATACAGACAGCTTTAAATCTTTGTGGTGGATAGAGTACGCAATATTTGCAAAGTTCGTTTCATTCTTGTGCAAATCCTATACAGTTTGCAATACCTATAGTTGAAATAAAAAATAGAATTATAAGCACAAACTCAATGAAATTGAGATTAAAAGGCATTGGGCGTAGGTTTGAGGAAACTATATAGTTTTCTCAGGTCCTAATGGAAACGGAATACAGTAGATTGATAGACACTCTGTAGTGGGCCGAGGGTGGGTGGTAAACTCGCTACCCTAGTAAATATGCCATTGGGACGGCACGTACAAAATGTGAGTAATTAAACTGCTGTGTACAACTACAAAATTTAACTATTGTATATGCTTTAATTTGATATATTTAGTAACTTTGTGTTAACAAATGTTTTGGTAATTTTTATACACATTATACACAATAATTATGCAAAAATAATTTATAACTTCACAGCATTGAAGATGTCCTGTCTGATAAAAAATGAACAGATCCTCATACATTCTTGAAAAATTTTCTATTCTCATTTAAATGATTTAAATAGGTTCTTACCTTCCATTGGAAATGAGTCGCTGCATGGTATCTGGAGATCCAATGGTTATTAAACCGTTCACTTGCTCTCAATGAAGTTGAACACGTTTGCATAGTTATATCATGGAGTTGAAAAATATAGCACCATGTTTATATGTGAACTGCTTTAAATAGTGATGAGTATAGTACGCTATTTGCAAGGTTCAGTTCATCCTTGTGCAAATCCTATACATTTTCCAATACCTATATTTCAAATAATAGAAGAAATAAACAATAAATTACGTGATATTGAGAGGGAGTAGTTGACATATCCAAATGGAAACGGAATACAGTACCGGTAGCTATAATGAATTGAATTCGCTCTGTAGTGGGCCGAGGGTGGGTGGTAACATCGCTAGTAAATTTGACATTGGGGCGGATAGTGCGAAAAGTGACTAATGAAGTTTATTTTATCTTATTTTATTTTATTTCGCATTTCATTCGCATCCAACAGCGAGTAACTCGCCAATTGAAGGATGGACGATGCTTTACAAGCCAAATCTCTTGATGAGGATTAGTGAAATTTAATTTGTGATGACAGATGTTTTGGGCATGTTAACAAAAAGAATAAATATTTAATAATAATTCAATTTTACACCATTAAAGCAGTTCTGTTTCCGAAATAATATGAGAAAAACCTAAAACATCCGCTACAAATTTAGAATTCTCATTTACATGATTTAATAAGTTATTACACCGGAACACCAATCGAAAAAATATATAATTGAGTCGCTGTTACTTAAAGGCATTAAGCAATAACAAATGGGACGAAAATATAAATAATAGGCCTATAAATAATAAAAATAATAATATAATGATAATAATAATATCAATATTATTAATAGTAATAGAATTATTATAAAAGTATAAGATTTAATGTGATATCATAGCCTATAAATTAAAAGGTACAGTGGTATGATGTCATGAGTTTTTACCGTGTTCATGAATAACCACTACTCCGTATAGTGTTATGTAACATATAATGCGGAAACGGAGTTACGAACCAATTGGTTCAAATGACGATCAGACTATGTCTGAAGAGGGCCCAGACGGACCGAAAATTTGCGTCAATACCAAATGTTAAAACCATTACTCATCAGTTCCAATTCATAATGCTTTTAATTTTAAAACAAAAATCATCATCAAGAATCATTTCAATATATCTTTATTCAAAATACCTCGTATAGATAGAATTCTCACACAGTGATAACCAAATAATACTTAATTGATCAGTTTTGGATGTTATAGTTTGTTTCAAGTTTAGTTCTTTTGTGTTTATTTCTTTAAGAAAGCAAATGTTGAAATTTCTTATATATATATATATATATATATATATAAATGTATATATATATATATAAAGAAAAAGTATAACTCATATATTATAGTATATAATACTGTATATATATTGTAATATATATTGTAATACATACAATAGTTAATCAATACAATACCAAATGTTAAAACCATTACTCATCAGTTCTAATTCATAATGCTTTTAATTTTAAAACAAAGGGAAATCTTATATGTCAACTATGACCCTCCATAAACTGAATGGTCTCATAAAGTTTCTTAAAGCATTACCTATTATAAAAGTAATATATTTTATTGCAGTAATAGCCCTACAATCAAATTTTTCCAGTTTGTACCGTACATCATCTTCATCAGGTGTGGTGCTGCCCACTTGTCTAATCGTTCTTGAACCACTTGCGCTGGTAGAAGAAGCGGTCTTTGGGTCGATGACACAGGAGATCATGCTAAAAAGTGTATCCAATCGAAGCACAATCTGAAAAATCTCCAAAAACTACTACTGCACGTTAAAATATTCAATTACGATTCTGTAAGGTTTTCTTTGAAGGGATTGTAAGAAATGTGTATTAGTTGTTCACCTATCTATGCTGTGGCTGAAAATAAATAGATTAGTGTTTGTGTATAAGGAAATGTTATTGACTTAAACCATTCTTCATCATTTACCAACAGGGTTCGCGATTTTATTATAAACACAACAAAACACTGATATACATAGAAACTATCATGGAGCTATGAAATTATAGGTCCACGTTAGTTTGATACACTTGTACAGGGTTTGTGATATTATTATAAACACAACACAACACTGATATACATAGAAACTATCATGGAGCCATAATACTAAATTATAGGTCCACGTTAGTATGATACATTCGTTACCTAAACATCTACTACCACTGTAGCCAGAGGTGCATGTTGCATTCTCATGGCAACCATTGACATGATGACATTCAGTAGCGTTACAATGACAATCTTCATGACAGTCAGCACCGTACTTGCCTGGTTCACAAACTAATATAACAACAAAACAACAAATAATGCAATATGAGATTGTTATCTATCATCTTCACTATCCTTATCCTTATCATTATTGCTATCGTCGTAGCACTCACAAGTAAACTTACCTATAATTTTAGGAAAAGTTGGGTATAATCAGCTATACCGGCTCTATGCCTATACCCATGCATTGAAAGCAACCATCAAGCTGCAAGGTACATAACGTAATAATAACAAATATTAATTTTGAAAACATACCAGTGCAATTTTTTCCATCAGAGTCAAGTATCCAGCCGTCGTTGCAATAACAGGTAAAGGAACCATTAGTGTTGGAACAATTCTGGGCACATCCATCTATATTGCCTTCACACTCATCGACATCTAGCATAATGGAACATATTTAGAATTATCATACTTGAATTCATAATATTTTATATCCCGAAAACATACCAGTGCAATTTTTTTTTCCATCGGAGTCAAGTATCCAACCGTCGTTGCAATAACAGGTAAAGGAACCATTAGTGTTGGAACAATTCTGGGCACATCCACCTCTATTGTCTTTGCACTCATCAACATCTACCATAAAGGAACATATTTAGAATTATCATATTTATATCCCGATTCGCTGAACCAATTTACACTTACACTTACGTTCCAATGAATCTGATCACTTGACAAATGTAGTACTGCTCAAGCATCGTAGATAGACTGACTAGAACAACGATGGTCAAGTTGTCAGCATCAATGGAAGGATCAACTTTACAACAGAGTTGAACCTTCCCGTGAAGCTGATTGCTTAAACATCATTGCACTCCTCTAGTATCGGTACAATTTTAATTCAGTAATAATCGAATAATGGTCTGTGTTAATCTGAGCAGACCGCTTATGATATAGGGCCTTATGAAATTTTATTTTTGTCTAAAATCATAGCCCTTCACAATTTTCAAGTGATATTTACTAATAAGTTATCGGGGCATTGACATAATATGTCGGGGCTCGGAAAAGTTACCGATATTCTCGTATTGTGGATCACAAGTTGCTACAAAAAAGAAATGTTACAAATAATGATAATAATGATGATGATGATGTTAAGGATGATGATGATGATGATGATGATGATGATGATGATGATGATGATGATGATGATGATGGTTATGATGATGATGATGATAATAATAATAATACTATCATTATAATCACTTTCATTATCATCATTATCACAATCATCATTAATTATTATCATCATCATCGCATGATGGATCACAAATTGCTGATACAAATTATAATCATACATAACTACTGTATTTTAATTTGTTAGGCCACCACATAGCAACTAGAACCGCCATCTGTGGCGCCGGACATGGGAAACTGACATGGTCAGGATGAGAAATGACAGATGGAGAAAGGCGTCCAGAACCAGCCCCAAAAGGAATGAGAAAGCGTTCCTGTAACTTTAATTGTTTTTAAAGTTAATCAGTCCATGATACTATCCGCATCTATCACCAGTATATTGGGGCATTAACGTGAATCGGGGCTCAAGCAATGACCATTGTCTCGCATGGTGGATTACAAATTGCTATGATACAAAATTATAATTACAAGTACATTCATACCTAATTATAATTTTAACACTACCATTATCATTAACATCATCATCATCATCATCTTCACTATTATCTTCATTATCCTCACCATCATCATCATCATCTTCATTACCTGGGGCGAATGTAAAGGGTGCAGACGGTACGATCGCCCCCCCCCCCCCCACCCCCACCCCAAAACTGTATAAAGAAAAATAATTTTTGTATTATATTGTTTACATGAATTAATGGTAGGATTTTTAAAGTATGAGCTGTCTCTTATACTTCCGGGCATCTCAGATTTCCATATTCTCAAAATTAGGTAAGTAAATACATCAAAGACAATGTTTTTAAGTTTTATTTTCTATAGTACATTTGCCGAAAATAACTGATAAAAGATCATGAGAATTCGTTGGCGCTTCATTTTGACTATATAATTGTGATGTGATGATGATGAATTTCACTATTAAAAGTGTCATTTCCAGCCATCTACAGGTACTATTTCCTCAAATGTTCTCACCTCAAAAGCAACCATGGTGGGGCTGAACTGAATGTGGCCTTACGACTTTGAGGAAAGTCAAGTACATTAAATACATCAAATAAAATGTATCTTTGATTTTATTTTTTATGGTACATCACTCATATTAGTTAGATCGCTGTGGTTACCGAAAATCCCTGATAAAAGATCATGAAAAATTTGCTTTCGCTTCATTTAGACTATAATAATTTTTTTTAACCTTTTTACGAATTAGTTCAAAATGCATGATGTACTATAGTTTTAATTGACATAGCTTTTTACTTTCTTAATTACTCCTTTATACATGATTTACTCCAAGATACATGATGTACAGAGTAGTTTTTCATGGGCATGGCATCTTGCTTCCTCAAATTTTTTGATGTAAATTTTGTAACGGTTTGGAGATCTTGTCTTGTGTTTTGCTTGAAAAAAATCCAAAAAATATTTGTCGTTGTTTCATGTCGCATCTATTTTTAAATCTTAATAAAATGTTATTTATTTACTGAATGTGTTTTTTTTTTCTTGTTGTGGTCCTATTTGGCAAATGATGTTTGCGTCAGATCCGAGTGTAGGGTTAAACAAGTTGAGGAAAGATATAGCACCGAGATGCCAGGAAATGACTTGATTTGAGAGTTAGATTAGAGAAAATCAATATGTTTTACTCTCCCACAATCAACCCCTTTTTTGGTCAGTATAAAAGTGCAAGAACTATCTTCTGGAAAACATTGTGTGCAATATATATGTCATATAAAATATCGACAATGCATGTCATTTTTATATTTATATAATTTTATTTCAGACATCTATACTATTGTCTAACTTTAGAAAATGCGAATCAGCCTTAGTTTCACTGACATGTTGTTCTCACGGTTACTGGTCTCGAAAATCCAAACACTATTTTGTTATACGTTTTACGATGTAAAATTCATTGAAAAGAGCCGATTGGACTCTAAAATTGAAGTTGTATGTTTATATAGTCAGGCCCGTAACTAGGATTTTTTTTTGGGGGGGGGGTTCAAATTTGGAAAAAGTGGAGCCTTTTGAAGATGTTAACGACCAACCAATTGCGCTGACCACATAAATAAGAGTTCCATCTTGAAACTTGTATTAAAAGTTGCTACTACTGTCTATAAGGATTGTTTGAACAGGATTGTTTTTTTTTTGTTTGTTTTTTTTAAGTTTAAGCAATCTTCTTTCGAGATTTTTTTTGTTTTTTTTTGCCATCCAAGCGGAGCCAGCTAGCAAAGGCGGGGTTCGTCCGAACCCCCCTGGTTACTGGCCTGATGTAGTAATATTTTGCGAATCTTTGAATTATTTTATTTTTCCCAGTGGTCACACTGGTGTCAGCCTAATAATGATCAGCTGCTCTGTACATGGCGATGGGACCTAGTTTTCAGCCCTTGTATATGGGCTATATATTTTAATGCATAAATAAAGCCAGTGATCAATTTGAATCGGTAGATTCTTAATTTTACTGGTAGTGGGTATTTATATTGCGCCTTTCCCTTGCGGTTATGAAGCGCAAGCCAAGCTTCAATAATTCAGGAAAACAATGGTAGGCATAAAATCAGTCGTTATCCAGGAACCAGTGGCGGCGCCAGCGGGGGGTGGGGGCAACAGGGGCTTAAGCAATTCGGCAAATGGTCTCGGCAATCTGGCATTCGGCAAACTGGATTTCGACCATCTGGCCTAGATCCATCGGGGATCGTGCAGTGACCGTTGTAATTTCCGCATGGTGGATCACAAATTGCATGATACAAAATGTATAATTGTAATCATAATTATTTAAGTTTGTTGAGGCCATCACTGAGCAATTAGAAGAACCATACATCTATATGAGGCGCCCCATACATCTTTGGTGTCAGAAATGGGCAAATAACGTGGTCAGGACAGACAGGGGTAGGAAGGAGTAGGTACAGAATCAATCCTAAAGAAATGAGAAGGCGCTCCCATAACGTTAATTGTTTTTCAAAATAATCGAGGCACTTACCTTGTCCGCATCTATCACCTGTATGCGTATTGGGGCAATCACATATATTGGGACTCGAGCAGTGACCGTTCTTGCATGGCGGATCACAAATTGCTATGATACAAAATTGTAATAACAAATAACAAATTCATTCATACATATACTTATTATTATCATTATAAACGCTATCATTATTATCATCATCGCATGGTGGATCAAAAATTGCTATGTTACACAAATCATAAAGTAAACAGCCATCACAAAGCAATTAGAAAAAACATCGGCCTACATCTGTTGCACCAGGAACTATTTGGTCAGGACTGACAGAGGTAGGAAGGCGTAGGTCTAATGTAGATCCCGTCTGACAAGGGAATAAGAAGGCGTTCCCATAATGTTAAATGTGTTTCAAAATAATCAGCAGTATTTACCTTGTTCGCATCTATTACCAGTATAGGTATCGTATCAATCACATGTATTGGGACTCGAGCAGTTACCGTTGTTCTCGCATTATATAGGCGTAGATCCCGGGGGGATGGGGGATATATCCCCCAATATTTGACAAGGGGGGGGGGTGTGGTCCATTGTATCATCCCCCCAATATTTTGACTATGTATGGGATAAAATGGAGCTTTACACACTTCAAAAGACTGTCACAGAAATAATTTGCACCGTCTTATGCGCTTACAAAGATGAAAATTAGCATAATGTATTAATGTTGATAACAAAATTATTTTATCTGGTACCAACCTAGGCTCTTCTTTCCTTAGATGTTAGATGTGCTTGCAAAGAGAGCCACATTTCACACTGAAGGGTGTGTACGACATCAGTAATGTTATGTCAATTCCAAGAATGTTTAAGTTTATATCGGTTGATGAGGAATTTATTGATTAGGCCTATACTAGCAAATAGCATCAATTTATTTTGCAAAAACAAGGTTTCCAGCTCCAGAGGGGGGCACATCTCCTGTCTGCACAAGGGCACATATTGGCGCTAACACCAGGCGCGTAACAGGGGTCTTGAGGCAGAGTGGGTATTTATTTTTTTTATTTTTTATTTCAACCATCTTTAAAGAGGGTAACCC